TTCTCACCTGAAATTATACTCAACACATTTATGAACCATCAACCCACTTCCATATGCACAAGGCCCAAGGCACAACTATGTACTCTAAACAGGAAACCAAAAATAATACACCTAAACATTTGGCACTGATGTCAGGACCCGAACCATTGGTATGCAGTGTGGCTACTTATCGGCATGTGTGGTGAATGTATAAACTATGTGGTCTTTCCGAGAAAGCTAATATGTCAGTTTTCTAGATAAGATCATGAGGTAAATTGGGAATGTCACAAAAAGCTGCTGGTGACCAGTCTATAAGCCAGCTTACAGTGTCATGTTCATCAAGCTAGCTGAATATTACATTCAAACTGTTGCTTAAGCACAGATAAGAATGCATAGCATGAAGTCTAAATTTATATGAATGAACTGCTGATACAATGCAACTAGGTAAACAAGAACACATACTCATCAACAAGTCCACTATGTCCAGAACCTTTCTTCAGAACAAAATTGAACATGAGGATAAATGAATGGACCAAACATAAAGCATCGAGTTAAATAGCCAAAGTATTATATAAGTGAAAAGGTCAAAAACATTTGTTTAGAAATAACAACATTTACCATTTGAAATGCAGCTCGGAAGGCATGTACATCAAAATTTTGCAGTGCAATGTCCATGGTGAGATTTCTCCATCTCTCCGCGCTCTAACATGATTTAAAAATATATTAAATAAAGAGCTTTATAGAAAAATATCACTACATTTCGATAATTTCAAAGGATGAATCCTTAATAGTATTGTAGACCAAAAATGTAAAAAAAAAAATGCTTGCAATTAATCAATTCAAACTAGAGATACAATCAAAGTACACTAATTACCTAACACACAAGTGATGTCACAAAATACTGCAATTAACTTTTACTTTTATTAGGACAAGTAACTATTAGCTCTATAATACAACATTAAATACATATACTTAACATAAAACAGATTAATAAAAAAAAACTTGCAGAGGCAAAGATAAGTATCCTGTAATTTAGGTCAATAATGTTTTAAGCCACAAAATTGCAGACATACAAGTATCCACAGAGGAAACACAAAACTTCGATAAGCTTATGAGAATTTTTTATTTCTAAGTCCACCAAACAGATACCTCTTTTGGTATCTTGTTTATGCTGAGTGCCTTCAAACATGAATTTTAACAATATGAGATGTTTCAAAAAACAGAAGGCAACACTAGATCATGAACTGCTATCATACCTGACAAGCAAGGTCATGGATGCTTTTCCCTAGCACCAGTTCAGACAGTTTGGCAGCCTTGCTCATAGGAAAACCAGGGCAGGTGTCTGTGTCCTCATTAGAATCCTCAGAAAGCAAGTTGTAACAGCAGCCAACACTTACCGATGCTTTTACTTGTTCGCAGGGCAGAAAAACTCTGTTAAAAAAGAAAGTAACATTCTAAAGACTTTCATCAAGGTACAAACTGCTTTTATTCAAGATGCAACGTTTAGAAAGCTTGGAGAAAGGACCACGCTCCATGGCCATGTTCTCATACTTCACAAACACCAACCTTAGCATGTTAACTGAAAGATCACCACATGCATGAAGACCAGCTAGGATTAATGGAGGGCTGCCTTGAGTTGGTTCCTGAATTTGAGTGATTTTCTTAGTGGAAGCCTTAGTTTCTCTCACGTGTTCACCATGGTCATCCTTACATGCATCTAACGTGACTGCTGCCAATGTGTCACTAGAAAGAACATGACAGGTGACAGTCCTAGGTACCGTGAGCAGTTGCTTCTCCACACTACAAAAATAATAATAGGCACAAATTAGATATGAATCCAAAGGTAGTAGAACTGAAATAGAACTTGATGAAGGTTGCACCATTTAGCAGCATAGTGCTTCTTTATTCTCTCTGCACGAGCACTTGTAACTGATGCATGGTGTGATGAAGCATCTATCGCTACAACAGGGAGTTGGTACTCAAAAGACAAAGACTGTGCGAGATAACCCTGATAATATTAAATAAGATGAGAAAAAAGATAAATACATGACATAGCACATTACTGCCGAAACTAGGTTAAAACCGATCATTTCTTTCATTTAACAGCAACAGAAAACACAAGGCATTGCCATACATGTCTACAACAAAAACCAAATGGCTTGACTTGTGCATTTGATTCCAATTTGCAAATAAGTCAACAAAATAACAGACAAGTCCACGTAGGCCATGTTCTTCGTAGATTATGACTATTTGAAAACGAGTGAAACAGTCCCTAATTTGGCTTCCTAGCTCATGACTTCCAAAGTATCATGCAATAAAGGCATAGCTTATGAAATATGGACATATATAAAGCACAGCATATGTCTTTTCCTCGTGGACCAGTATATTTAGCTGTATCGATTGGGACATTCCAGCTCAGGATTGGTGATGAATACATAAGCCTAATATTTAAGATGGCACAATCGCAAGTTCACAACCAAAAGGAATGAAGAGGAATGCAAACTGTCCAAGTATTAGAAAGACAATTGTGTTCACTTGAAATCTGGTTACAATTGCACAGATGCTTGCATGCATATGACATACCTGGCCAGAACCTACATCAACCACTGTATTCGCTCCGCACTTCTTTGCAATTGCATGAACCACCGCAGCTAGATTTTCAATCTGAATAAAGCAATTTCTTCAAACACGAGAGTGCAAATAACAAATGAAAATAACAACATATTTGCAAATAAATAAGAGAACATAGCAAGTTCAACAATCAGTATGAAGCCGGATTACCTACTTCATGCTTCTTCTTTGAGTTCATGCCTTGAGCGAGAACAGTGCCAATTGGGGCTACATGAATATCAGATACAAGCTGCAAATTTTCAAGGAAAAAAAAAACATATCAAGACTAAAGCTGATCGACAAAATTGACAATCTCTTAACCAAAATGACAGCAAGGTGATCCAAGTATGGAATGCAAACAGATATTAAGAAAAACTAATCTGATGTACTGAATTATTCTGTGCACTGAAACCAAGCAACATGACTGCAAACGGAGCGCCTACAAAAAACTTGGATATAAAGTGCACAAACTCAAATGCTGCTGAAACACAATATTCTCAGTGTTCTACCTGTACCGAGTTTAGTTGATAAATGATAATATAATTTATTCAGGAAACCTACCGATTGTGGAGCCTTCTGCTCCCGTGGAATAAACAAGCGACCTAGCAGTAAGCACAAACTTTCGCAGTGTAGCAGGCCAGTGTTCCTTCACACCAATAGAAAGTAAGATACATCAAAGTCAAACTGGCAAGGACATAAAATAGCAACGATGGACTTGAACTACCTGGACGCATCCTGATGGCAGCTTGAGCAAGCTCTCGACAGGCTCCCGCCGGAGGCACTCCATCCACTAGCTCCCACAACCTGCCCTGCTCGAGCCGAACCGCACAGGACACAAACTCTCAGCAAACAAACCCTCCAATCGGCCGATAAACGCGCCGCCGCCGCCGCTCGCCGGAGTCGCCGCCATCGCGCGCGGGGGAGACAAGCGGTGAGAGGAAGCAGAGCCAAACTTCCCAAGTGAGGTCCGATCCGGCCAGCGAGTCGGGCTACTTTCCAGTGCTCTCCTGTTGGGCCGTGTTGGGCAAAAGGATGACCTGGGAAGAAAGCCCTGTTCGTTTACTGGGCTCGTTGTTTGTTTGGTTTTTTCTTTTTTAAAACCCATTAACGAAAGAGGTTGTGCCGAATTCACAGGCTTGCTGTGGAATCTTGATCTTAAATTTTTCCCAGATTCAAAGGCTTGTTTCCGAAATTGATCTTCATTTTTTAGATTGTTCATCGATTACACTCGTCGTTTTTGGAATTCAAAACGAGCTGATTTCGAATAGCTGATTAGAAGTAAAACGAGGGTGCTTGGTATAAATGAACCGACTTATAAATGGATCTGTTCGACGGCGAATTACACAGATCTCACAAAAAAGTTTGGCATGGTTTTCATGACATATCTTGATTTTTTTTCTTTTTTGAAACTTACAGCTAGGTACATAGACACATAGTGAAAGTACGTGTCAGCCTTGATCGCAAATTGAAACAATGAACACTTTGCCCGGTGCAAACCAAATCACACCATTCTTCACTCAAAACACAACCAAGTACTACAAACCCAGTTGAGTTTATAAGTTCTGGGGCACTTTGCAAACTGGGCATTGTATAACTATCGCTCTGTTCGTTTGAGCTTGTTTGACTTAAGTCGTACTTTTTCAAACAATGAACAATACTTTTCTCTACACCAAATCGGTAACAATCTTTTCAAACATTGGCTTATCACTCAAACAAGGCCAAACAAAACAGAGGACGATATGTGTCCAACACGGGACTGGCTGCTAGGCATTTTGTCCAATGCTCACCAAGTGACTTCAAATCATCCACAAAAGTAGAAAAACGGCAAGTTTAGTGTGCGATGACAGCAGGTTAAAGAGGACAAAGAACAAGACTTGAACACGCGTACGAGAGGCAAACCCCACGTCCTTTTCATCTCTACTAGTGTGCCAGGATTCCATCAGGCAAACCTTAATGAGTACAAACTACAAACTTAAAAAGGGTCCGTTCATTTCATTGAAAAAAATAAGCCAAAACACTTTGTTTGGTTGATTTCTTTGTGAGAAAAAACACTATTCCAAATTTGAAAAAGCGAATAATAAGAGAAACGAACGGGACAAAGAGCATACATTCGCGAGGGCCTAAGCGCCCCAAATCCAGAATACGGACCAAATAGCTCCAGCATACAGCAAAATGGCTGAAACAAACGGCTAGGGAACAGCTAATTGAGCCACAGATAGGTGGCGTCATTGCCGGTAGCAGTAATATCTTGCGTGGTCCGTGGTATACTGAAGCCAAACAAGATAAAGATGTAGGCAGCCGTCCCATTGAACGTCCTGGTCACTGTGTCGAGAGAAGAGAGAGACATGCCAAAGATAACATTGTCAGAATCATCATGCTAAAGTAAACTACATTAATTGTTTCCAAGTGGATTCACAAGTTTCAAGTGGCCATATGCTGTCATGCCCACAAAACAAAAGGTATTCATTCTATTCAGGACAAAAATGTATGGAACTTTTGAACAGAAATTAGGTAAGGTTTTCAATTATGGATAACTTAATTCCATTCATTCCAACAAAGAAAAGACATATTTATCTGCTCTAGACTATACGACTCAACAGCCTGGTCGGAAGAGCTATTTGCAGCGCTGTGGCTGCACACAAGACTACCTTGAGCAACTGTAGCACTGAGCGTTGGCTTGTGCAGCAACAGCCACAGCGCTGCACAAGTAGCACAAACGATCACAGCCAACCTACATCCTACAGGGTACACCAAAAAAGTGTCACAAAAAGGAGTTGTAGTTGTCTTAAAAAAAAGGAGTTGCAGGGCCTGTTCGCTTGGATGAATCTGAAGGAATCTGGATGAATTTGTGAGAGAGTGAACAGTGTTTTCAGCTCCAAACAATGATTTTCAGCTGCCGTTCATCTCAGCCGAACGGCACCATAGTTGCAAAGGATACTTCAGGAAATAATAAAAGTTCCCATAGCATATCTCTAATTGCACAAGTATGCAACAAATGTCAGGTTGACCACATGGTTCTAAAAGACCTAATTAAACTTACATTTACTCTCGATTAAACCTCAAACAGACCCTGGTGCGAGTAGGTGTGAGGCAGTGCTTAAGCGGTGCAGAAACACAAAAGCAACTGCCTGGCTGGCTTGGTAGGCTATGTGTGACTGCGCGGGCTGGCGGGTATGAAAAAAGCACGCTGAAGAGTCAAGGAAAAGGGAAAAAGGACACGTGGGGATCAAAATTGCAAGTCCTTCACTTCTTTGCATGTTTGCAAGAATTGGAATCAAAATTGCCTAAATGTGTTACAATTTCTTCTAAGATCAAAGTTGGGTATCTAATCTGAGCCATATGTGTTGCCAGAAAAAACTAAAAATTAAAACAATAAAAAAGCACAAACACTTAATCACGTTTAATCTACGTTTAAACCATCTAAGCGTTAGGAAGTGGCCTAGCGCCTAGCGTGTTTTGGAACCTTGGTAAGCTGTAAGCTTGTGCACCCACCAGATTAAAGAAAAGAACAGATACAGATATACAGCAAAGGAATGTGACCTCATACACAATTAAACCCTCTATAGGTACGCAAATCATACTATGAATCAATGATATTGCCATTCAATCTTGTCTGGTTTGAATGTGAAAGTGTGCAGATACACACAATCACTCAAAGACAGTACGCTAAAGAATGTTGGAAGTGCTAAAACCGAATATTACTAGTGAAAAACTATTTGGCAGAATAAGAATACTAGATTTTTGTGCAATTTAGCAAATAATAATAATAGCATTCCCTTATTTCAAAGTGCACAATGGAAACAAGTTGGAGGCAAGATGATTTTGATGCAACAATACAAAGTGCACTATGGAAACACAAGTTGGATGAATGAGCATGTCAACAACATAAAGTAACTCCAAATGACTGAATAAAACAAGGAAGATTCTTACTATTCCGCAGGGACAACGGAGGTAGGAAATTTGCATAAAGATGAGCAAAATCAATGCATTTATTCAACAGGCACAATCTCTCCACCAGTAATGTTTTGAGATGTAGCGTGAAATAGTGTATATCTGGCATCTTCTCGAGCTCAGCTGAGTCTGGTGGAATAGCTTGAATGAGTAAGTAGCCATCGCATGTACCACAGAAGCTGATGGAATACCTGTCAGAGTCGAGCAAGGGGATTGGGATTGTCTTTTCATGCTGCCACTCTTCCGCACTAACACCATTGTCTTGCCAAGCCTTACAGTAGAGGTCTAGCACGCCATCACCAATGGTTAAGAAACCAAGCCTCCCTTCTCCTGCCTCAATAATGGCATGCTGTCTAAAGCGGAGGACAGGGGTGCGTACCACGGAGAATTCCATCTTGTGAGTGTCCAGCATGAGTGTAACACACTAGGTGTTAGGTTTGCACTTTTGCACTTGCATTGCATGAGTATAAACATCATTCATTCATATGTGAGCATTAACATATGAAACATACAAGAAGAAACATATGAAACATTCCTTTGTTATTCTATGTTGCAACATGTGTATGCTTTATGGTCATGCTTGTTAATGCAAGTGGTTGATGTTGATCACTAGGATGCAAGGTGGTGAAAGGATTAAGATGCCTAAGAGGGGGGGGTGGAATTGGGCTAATTCTAAATTTTTGCAATAATTAAGCCCTACACTTAGCCCATTTCACCCCTTATGTCTAGAATGTGTTTCTATTGTTCTCATTGCATACAAAGTTTTGCATCCTAGGTTCCAATTCTACTCTAGCATGGCAATTCTAGTAATGTAAAGATATAAAATGAATTGCTCAAATGTAAATGCTCAAAATAAAGAGAGAAAAAGGAACACGGCGATGTTTTCCTGAGGTATCGGAGAGTCGCCACTCTCCACTAGTACTCGTTGGAGCACCCGCGCAAGGGTGTCGCTCCCACTTGATCCACGCAAGGATCAAGTGCTCTCTACGGGCTGATTCTTTAACACTCCATCACGGTGAATCGCCCACAACCGCTCACAACATGACTTGGGTCATCCACAAGCTCCGCCGGATGATCACCAAGCTCCCAACCACCACCGAGCCGTCTAGGTGATGGCGATCACCAAGAGTAATAAGCATAAACTCTCACTTGACCAAGACACGCCTAATGAGAAAGGTGGATGCACACTTGCTACTCCCTATGCACTAGTGAGATCCTTAATCTTGGATTATCAACTCTCAATCACCACACTAGACTCTTGCTCTCCCTTGCACTCCAAAGGCGTTTTCACAGCTGAACAATTGGGCAAGAGACCTCATATGAGCAGAGTGGGATAAGTATTTATACCCCTCACTCAAAACATAATGGTTGAAAATCAACTCAAGAACTTTCGTAGGTGACTGACACGCCGGTCGGGGTGACCGGACGCTCCATCGATGGTACACGTCCATCATGTTAGAGAGAGCCGTTAGCTCGATCGGACTCGACACATGTCCGGTCATCACCCACCGGATGTGTCCGGTCAGCAAAATGCTCCTATGGATGCTCTCTGATGTTGATCGGACGCAGGCACCCTAGCGTCCGGTCATCACCCACCTGACGTGTCCGGTCACCAAAATGCCCCTATGGATGCTCTCTGATGTTGATTGGACGCAGGCACCTTAGCGTCCGGTCATGTGTTTAGCGTCCGGTCAGTACATGACTATAGCTTCTAATCAAATGAACTGACCGGACTCTTCACGCTGCGTCCGATCACAACCAAACCAGCGTCCGATCAGTCATTTGACCCTACATTCACTTCTAATTCGAAATCCTTCGAGAATGAAGTTGACCTCAATAGATCTTAGGGCTATTCCTGAGCTACCTAGTGTCAGGTTTGACACGTGTGCACCACACTTAATCCATTAGACTCACCTAGGTCAAGCTACTAGTCCATACCCCCCTTAATAGTATGGCCAA